CTTCGCTCTCACGCGCGGCTTCACGCTCCGCCGTCGTCGATTAAACTCTCACGCTCGAATTGGCGGATTTGAACTCCGCGAGCGTGTCACCCTCCGGACATGGGGGCGTAGCGCCGAAGGCGAGTTTTCCGCCTTGCGCGGTACACTTGTTCGTACCGCCCTTCGGCCAATCTCCTTCTGCCTTGACGCGTGCGTCCGCATGTCGGACAAAAATTCAACTCCTGCCTGTGCGCAGGCAGGGGCCTCGGCGGATTCTCCGCCGGTGCGGAACTTGAACATTCTCCTGTGCACAGGCGTTCTCCTGTGCGCAGGCGAATTCCGTCCGCGGCGCTGCGCTGGCGCGGAAGGCGTTGACCGTGGTCAGCCGTCTCCGTCCAGTCTGTCCGTTCCTTGTCTCTCCGTCGGCGCTTCCGCCGCCGCAACTCCGTCCGTCCAAGAGCGCATCCACCCGTGCCGTCCGCATGGTCCGTACCGATTGGATTACTCTGGCGGTCTTCCGACGTACGCTGCGCTGCGCTGGCGCGGAAGGCGCCGTACACTTTCTACCTCACAAGGCGCATTTCTAGGGCCCAAGGCGGATTTCCCGCCGACGCCGAAGTGCCTGTGCACAGGCGAACGCCTGTGCGTAGGCGGACTTCGCGCCTTCCCTAACCCTACTTCGCCTGTGCACAGGCGAACGCCTTCGTCCGCGCATAGGACAAAACTCGAATCCCCCTTCCGCGCAGGCGGAATTCGCGCCGGTGGCGAAATCCTTCCGCCGGGGGCGACCGCCTCCGTTTCTTTCAGTAGCGATAACTCCCTAAGTCCTCGTCCGTTCCAAGCGTTCTTGGGCTCGTTAGAATCAGCGCGTCGAGCTCTTTCCAACCGGACCCTAACTTGGTCAAGGCGCCCGAGGGTTTACCTAATTACGGGGGTTTCCCTACAGCCGCGGACGCAACCTCCGAAGGCGGATTTTGCGCCTTGCGCTGTAGAGATCCTAACTGCGGAGCTCGCAGGGAGGGTGGTGCCTGTGCTTGCTGCGGCACCCCAAATCCCAGATTCTACAAGATCCCTCGAGAATCCCCGCGATCTTCCGGGGTCACTCTGTTTTGATGTACCGAAGGCTATTTACAATGCTGCCAGGGTACAGTTTTCCAAAAATGTTTTAATTTCCTCAAAATTGCCAAAAGTGGGGTACCACAAGTAGAGATGTGATATTTAATGCGACTATATTCCCTTGTCAATCAAGGACTGATCCAAATTCTAGTGTTGTGAGTGTCTCTAACCCTGCAGAAAATTTAGAGAATATTATTCAGGTGGAGCCAACTATTCATGTCACTCCTCCACAAGCTCAAGGCCAAAGAAATTCGAGTGACCATGAAGATCAAGACGTGCAAGCTCCAGATCAGGTCTCTGAACCAAGCAATCATACTGATCAGAAGCAAGGAGAGATGACAAGTCATAGCAATTCAGAGCAATCTCTACAACAATGTGACTACATTCTGACCAGGGACAGAGAAAAATGAGTATCAAGACCTTCACAGAGATATGGCTTCTCCGCATACTCTGAAATCCTTGCTTATGCGTTAACATCAGCCTTGGAAATTTTGATGAAAGAGCCTCTCTACTATCAAGATGCTATTGCTAGATCAGATTCAGAAAAATGGAAAGAAGCCATGAGAGAAGAAATGGAGTCGCTGTATAGGAACAAAACTTGGAACATAGTTCCAAGACCTAAGGATCAAAAGCTTGTGAGATGTCGTTGGCTTTACAAGATCAAAAAAGGTGTGGTCAATTCTGAGGAGCCTCGGTTCATGGCTAGGCTAGTGGCAAAGAGCTTCACGCAGGTTGAAGCAATAAATTATAATGAGATTTCTCACCTGTGGTTAAATACAAGAGCATATAGATTATGCTTGCATTTGTGGTTCAGTATAATTTGGAATTACAGCAAATGGGCGTGAAAACAACGTTTCTTCATGGCAAATTGGAAGAAGTAATCTACATGGAGCAACCACCAGGATATGAAGTACAGAAAGGCAGAGACATGGTGTGTCTACTGAAAAAATCGCTGGATGAACTGAAGCAATCACCACGTCAATAGTACAAGCGTTTTAATACATTTATGCTTGAGCATGTATACAACAGGAGTTCCTACAACTCATGCTTGTATTTCAAAGTTAATGAGGTACTGAAAAGCATCTATCTACTTCTGTATGTAGACGATATGTTACTGATCAGTAGCTCTACTTCAAAGATATCAGAACTTAAGAAGATTTTGAGCAAAGAGTTTGATATGAAAGATTAAGGTGATTCTAAGAGAGTCCTTGGAATTAGCATCATCAGAGACAGGAAAAATGATTCATTGGCATTATCATAGCGTAGCTATTTGGAAAGGCTAGTTGAGTAATTTGCCATGAAAAATGCAAAGCATGTGACTCAACCTCTAGCAAGTCATTTCAACCTTTCTGCAAGTCAATGCCCTACGTCAGCGTCAGCAAAGCAATCCATGAAAGATGTTCCATATTCAAGTGCTGTTGGCTCAGTCATGTACACTATGGTGTGTTCAAGACCTGATATTGCCCATGCCATTAGTGTACTTAGCAGGTACATGTCAAATCCTGACAAGGAACACTGGTTGGCCATGAAGCATCTCTTGAGGTACTTGAAAGGCACTACTTATGTGGGTTTGATGTACTGCAAGAGAGGTAGTTCAGTTCTGGTGGAGGGTTATGTACACTCTGACTACGCAGGGGATAAAGACAGCAAGAAATCTACTACAGCTTACCAATTCCTGATTAATGGCAATTGCGTGAGCTGGAAGTCACAATTACAACTTGTTGTGATGTTATCCATAGTAGAGGCAGAGTATATTGCTGCCATTGAGGCAGTGAAAGAAGGCATATGGATTCAAGGTTTACTGAGAGAGTTACTTGTATTCCAAGGTACAGCAACACTCTTTTCAGATAGCCAAAGTGCAATCCATCTATGCAAAAATCTAGAGTTTCATGACATAACTAAGCACGTAGACATCAAGTACCACTTCATCAGAGAAAATATCACTGATGGCAATATCAACATTGCAAAAGTCAGCACATATGACAACCCGGCAGATTGCGGCACTAAAGTGGTAACTTTGGGAAAGTTTCGACTATGTCTGAAGCTTCTCGGTGTTGATGCTTCATGACTGAGCAAAAATTGAACGATGAACCAGTGAAGTACGAGTACCAAGCTCGAGTATAGGTGATCAAGATCAAAACTTAAGACTGAGGTGGAGATTGTGAGATATCAGCTTCAGTTGTTTGTCTTTTTACTTTTAGATTATTTGTCGTTTAGTATTAGCTCGCAGATGGGTCTACATCCTACGGGCTGTGTAGGAGTTTATGGTTTTGATTCATTATGATCTTTACCGTTTAAGGTACCGTTAGAAGTCGGGATGATATAAGGCCAGTCAGCGAACTAGGGCAGGGTGCATTACAGAGATAAGGTTTTCAAGAATAGTCGAGAGTGAGAACGGGAAGACACCTACGGGAGGAAATCACCTGTGAGGAAGTGTTAGTCTTCCTCGGGAGACAGTAGTGATTTCTCGTGTGTAGTTCTCAGTAGATTGAAACCTTGTAATGACAGATAGGAAAGTCAAGTCTGAAAAAATTGATCTTGGATATATATACTCGAACTGCCTTCATTGAGGAGTTCGCGGGGAGTAGGCTTTCAAGTTGAACCTCGTCAACAAATGCTTGTGTATCTATGGTTTGTGGACTATGATTTTCTGCAGGTTATGGGGATTGAAATCCCTACAGGTAATATTCCAAGAGTCCAACTTAGGAACGAATCATTTTTCATTTGACACGCTCAAAAATTTGTACGCCTATCAACGGACTCCGCGAAAGGGAGCTGTGGAGCGCCTCGGTGAACCGTCCAATGCCCTCTCATATCGGACGGAGGAGGAGCACCTGATGTACACCCGGTCGCCCAGCGGTGAGCCTGAGGCACCATGGAAAGAGGGGAGAACATCGGGCTGTTTATCCCGATATGAAGTCAATGCGCGATCAAGGACGAAAAATGCCTTTTTCCCTTAGATAGCCTTTTGCCCGCTCATCCTTTTCGACTTCAGTCATTCAACTAGACTGTCTAAAGGATCTACTGACGCTACCGAGATTGGTTACGAACTCTTCACTCCTGAGATGAAAGATACACAGACGCAAAGGTCGGTGGTGACGAAATAGTACGTGAGAAGAAGGTATCGTGTTTTATTTGCGTTTACGATATAGCACACCTGTGAATTCGACTCGGCGGACGGCAATTTTTCAGTTTCCTTCTGTAAGTTGTATGCCTCCCAAAGAAAACAAGGCTCATCAATAGAGGAATCTACGGAGTATTATAATTAATATGAATAGCCCTATTCATCTACGGAGTTTTATTACTTCAATTTTGATAAAGAATAAAAAATTTGATATTACAAGTATTTTTTTAACAAGATAATATAAAGGTTCATGAGAATTTTGGATGTCTTATTGTGAAGTCTGATTTTATTAACAATCTGTGGAAAGATTATTTGAATCATTTCAGGATTAGTCTAGGCTTCATTCCACTACACAAATGTGTTTCTATCACAACTAAACTAAGTATTCAAAAGTGAATATTTATTAATAAAACTGAAACTTTGTGAGAAAAACTTCTCCTATTCATGAATCCTCTTACAACAATTAATAATTGCTACCTACATGGATAACTTCCTCCAGTTCTCTGCATAAATCGACATGTTTAAATGTTGATTCCACTGTAAACGAAAACTCATCCACATTCTTTTGCAATTGATGGATGTAATATGCGATCTCCATACTGTAAATTTGCATCTCAATCACGGTTTCAAAATTGGATTCCAGAAAGCATTGTCGTTTACCCATTGTAACAGAGAAGAAAGACTCCAACCATAAGCGGGAAACTTTTTGAATCAAACTCAATTTGCAACAATGATTTTAATCGATTGACAAAGAACCAATATCGTAGCCAAAAGCGTTTAGCCGGTGGAATCAAATTAATTGCACGTGAGCACGTTCTGAAAATAAAGCGGAGAACCTTAGCTCATAACAGAGATGCTGTACTTATTATCTAGTTAACATGCTGATTGCTCATAACAGAGAAACTGTACTCAGTATCTAGATTCCAGTACAGCCCGATTCTTAATTCCCATAAACTATCTGCATCAGCAAGCGGAGGTACTGCCACCAAGTCAAGTGGTGAGTGAACTTTGTCGGTTTCATCTAAACTGATGGCTGGGCTTGAGTTCAAAGTACTTCACGGGGAAGCAAGTGGATTTAGACCAGGTTCAAAAACACAAGATTCCACCTCCAAACGTTCTTTAGAAGAGTATTGGCAGAAGGGGGTGTCAATCGAAGTCAAAATGTTAGCGTCCACGTCATAACACACTGTTCTACTTCTGAAATTAAACGTCCACTCTCTAAATTCTGAACCTCTATTTACAGGGATATTACACTCTGTGATGAAAATGGAACTACGATTTGAGGCAAACCTTATTTTGTCCACCTTCTCTCGGATTGAGAAATGTTCTATCTGCCAGGTGGAGAGGAGGATAGACTCAGAGGAGACCGGAACAACATGATATACACTCGCTATAGTTTGTTCATACGCTCTGTCGACCAATACGCACATTACCCTGGAACCACATAGAAGCACAGCGAGTTCCGTACACGTGGGATAAGAAAACGGCCCGACCGTGATTTCGTTCATAGCTCCATTCTTCATGTTCAACTGCAAAACCTGTATAGCCTCAAAATCTCTAAAGAAGGGCTTTGGAAGATACAAAACGCCATCATCGTAAGCAAATATTCTATCTGGGGAAAACCATTCATTGAAGTCGCGTTCAAAGATGAATGACCTCGTTGTATGGTCTTTGGAGACGGATTTGTATACGGTGACGGAGAATTTCACGGGAGAAATCCTTGAGTAGTGACAGATGACTATTTCATAGTGATCAGCTCCCACAGAAAATACCATGGGCTGAACCCATCCTACTTCCAAGTTAGAGAACCAAACACGGTTTCTCTGGCATGTCACCTGGTTGATGACAGTTGCTAGTGCTCTGTGTTTTTGAAACACCACCCGAACAAGCAAAGCTCCGCAACGACTTGAGTAAGATCTAGTGTATGCTCTTCCCTTAGACCGATTTATTTGCCCCAAAAGTCTGAAGTGTCCTTCGGCACAATCGTATCCAATTTTGTACAGAGTTGAAGTATCACCAATTCTTCTCCTTACTGATCTCGACATGACCGTCACAGTAAAAAGAGGGCAATACGTGGGCCATGTGTGACATGCCTGACTCACCAAAGTTCGAAAGTTCCTGTTCCATTCTGTGGATAAGAGTCGCACTTTGAGAATTTCAGGATAAGGAACTCTCACAAAAATTTTCACCAATAAGTCGTTTGGAAAGTCTTCATGTTCTTCCATCGTGCTCGGAATACCAAGAATGTGCAGTCCACCTTCCAACTGCAAGTTGTAGAATCCTAGATCAGCACCGCACAAAGAAAATGTTAAGGATGTTTTGTTTTTGCTGCAGGATGGAAAGCTTCATCCGACACCGGCGACGTGGTAACATATGTTAATGTCCATCTAATACAAACAAGCCATTGAGATTTTCATGCACGAAAGGAAGAGGGTTGTGATAGACTTTTCTATCAATATTGAAGCATAATATAAAACTCCGTAGATGGAGGCTTGTTTTCTTTGGGAGGCATATTCTGACAGAGGGAAACTGAAAAATGTAGTCCGCCTCAACGAATTCACAGATGTGCGATTTCGTAAACGCCAATGCAACACTTTACCTTCTTCTCGAGTACGATTCGTCACCAATCTAGACAGGTCTTTGCGTCTGTAGATCCTTCAGAGTCCAGTTAAAAGACGGAGGTGGAAAGGGATGAGCTGGCAAGATGCCACCCTAACGCATTTCTCTTCTTCTCTCCGCGCGCTCACTTAAGTAGCAGGATCAGCAGCAAGATGTTCTACCTTCCTTCTATGGTGCCTCTGCCCCACCGCTGGGCGATAGGGTTTATTTCGTAAATTTTGATAAATTGATTTCACATAATTATTTGAAAAAACTATTTAAATGTGTAGATTCAATATCAAATAATATATTAATAATGACTTTATATTCTTGATTCTTTAAAATCTGATTATAAATTTTTTATTAAACAAACATTTTATAATTTACTATTTTTAGTAATCAAATCAACACTTCTATACCTTAATTTTAGATTTTTTTCTAGTCTTGTAGATTTTTATTCTAATCTTATAATCAAACTCATGAAACTAAACCTTCATTTCACATTCTACTCTGGTCTTGTCAGATTTCGTGATAAATCTCGAGGGATTTTGGCATCGCAGATCTTAAACAGCAGCTCTTTTATGAGCAAATGTTCTCCATCGCTGTTCAGAAGGTGCTCACGCACATTCACTTTGCTGCCAAGCTTTTGACCCTTTTGGCTACAATATCAGTGCTTTGTCAATCGCTTACAATAATTATTGAATATGAATTTCGCTTGAGGTTGGAGCTTTCACTTTATGCGTTTTTTTTGAATCTCATTGAATAGTATCTATGCAATGTATGTTATTCTTAATATACATTTGATAGAAACTTTCGTAGCATTTGATATCCGATAAAAGTTTCAACTAGTTTTTAAATATGTCGGCCGGAAGTAGTGTTTCAGATATGTTGAAAATAATGCAGCATGAACCGTTCACCGTGCAATTCTATCGATTGTGCTATTTTTGCTAATAATGAGGTTCTGAAACCATGTGGACAGTGAATCTGTATGGATTGTGCTATTTTGGCTAATATTGAGAATGTGAAACCACGTGGACTTTGAATCTCAATAATTTCTCGAAAGGAATGGCCTTAAAGACTTGTCAGTGTCGCATCCAGAATATAATAAGGTAGAAACCTAAGAAAAAGGCATAAAATGGTTTTGAATTGCATATATATATATATATATTATTGCACTGAGAAAAGTGTCTTGAGTTTTATTTGATTATTCTCAAATCTCGGAAATTTTACTAACATATGGACTGATCTGTAAGTTTCTCATAGAAAATAAATGTCTTTTCATTTTCTGCAACAAGTGAATCAATATTTATACCTTTGATTCAATCTTTGCCATTTTTTTATTTGCTTTGATTCCTTACGTACTTGTGCTGTATGTGTATTTAATTTCAATTGTTTCAAGATGTTAACAAAATTTTAAAGAAGATTTCATTGCTATATACTATACTCTTCTTTGTAAGATATATAATCAGAATACTAGAAAAGAGAATGAAGTTTTTGAAAAGTCAAACAGCTATTATCACTTTATTATAGTTTAGTTAAGTTCATTTCTTTTTCCAAAGCTTGAGCACTTCACTCTAGACCTTATAGTACTGAAAATGTAAGAAAAAATTTACATGAAATTATGAAATCATTTGTGCTGAAATAAAGCATATATTTTTTTGGCACAAAATATGAGTACTATATGCGAGGAATGTTCAAAATTTTGAACAAAATAAGAGAATTTTTCTTAGGCAAACTCAAAATATATTCTTTTCAAAATTTACCTTTATTGGTTCTCTTTACCATATAAGTGTATATGTCATTCTTACTTTATTGTAACTAAAAAATATTCTTGCTCAATGAACCCTTTTCACTATTTAGTGGGAAACAAAAACGCATTCTTCAATTGGGAAAAATTATAATATTCTTGAAAAAAAGCCCACTTCTAACGCTCTTTGTATCTATTCCTGCAGACTTACAAAAAAATGAGCTAAAATTGGAATAGAAAAGGTTAAAATATCTTCATTTGTTTTGCGATTCAATATCTGCAATTTTTCCTTGAGAAAATTCCACTCTCTTCTAGGTGAAACTCTTCCACTCTTATATTTTAAGGCTTATTCCTCAATATCTCAATTTGAAAACAATATAAAGCGAATTCCAAATTCAAAATCCAAATACAGATGAGATCTGTATTTGAACTGAATTCTGAAGAATTTATATACATCACATGAAGTTAATCTCATCTGTCTTAGGTATTTTATTGTCAAAGGTAAGACAGCCACTCCGTATTTCATTGCTCTAAGTCTGATAATATCACCACTTGAGAAACTATTTTCTCTTCTTGCACATCTCTCAAATTCTAAAGTGATGTTTTAAATGACTTCAAATCCATTGAATAATGAATTATCTTCTGTTGTATATAGTGATCCTCTTCTGGACGGGATGATGGCTTCCAGATCACTTCCGTAAGATTGGAATTCCAAGTATGAAGTTTGACATATGCCTGACGGGGTAAAGCTCTTTCGCTGCCACTTTCCTCTTCCACCCAGTCACCACTTGGAGTGGTGAAAAGATGGTAGAAAACAGTTGTTCCAGAGCATGAAGGGATTAAAGAATCATGATTGACAATGTCTCTACTAAGTTGACTTTAGTCCAGATAGGGATGCTCATGACTCGGCTAACGGCTAGCCGGCTAATATTTATTTTTTTAGCCGGCTAATATTTATTTTTTTAGCCGGCAAGCCGTCGACTAACCGGATCGCCGGGACGCTAGCCGAGGCCGAAAACGATCCGAAATCTCGGACCGAATCTGCGTTTTCGGCTGATTATTTCGCCCAATACATCCGAAATTATCCAATGAACCCTTACTTCGTCCGAATTTTTCAACTGAAATGCTTATTCCGCGAAAGCCGATTATCCCATGGCTAGCCGGCTAGCCCTTTGTATCGGCTAGCCGGCTACGTGACCATGCCTAGATACAGGCCGATTCGATGCAGAATCGCCCGCATACGCGTGAGCGTTGACTCGGGGCCAGCCCATCTTGCCAGCTTGTGAATCGGGTTCGTGATGGTCAGCGTGCGTAAGCCCGTCCTCAACGCCGAACCGCATGGTCGGACTGAGAGTGGCAACGGGTGGCCGTCTGAGAGGGCGTGGAAGGGCTTGTCGGATTCGACTGACTCTAGCAATGGGCCTCTGTCAGAGAGACATGGAAGGCATCGTTGGTCGGTTGTACACGAAGCTGGGTTGCCCTTCTTCCAGCCATTTCTCAACAGATCCCCGCGACAGAACTCGAACGACCATCTCGACGCAGACTTCGTCAACTTAGCCTTCGATAATGTATGTCGTTATTCTCTGCTCATAGTCCCGAATTGTTGCTTATTCTTGTGTGTGCCGCTCGCAGCATTTCCCGATTCCCGAATTGTTGCCCTCGTCCAAGCCATATCACAACAGAACCCTGCAACGGAACTCGGACGAGCATCTCGACGCAGACTTCGCCAACTTAGCCTTCGATTATGTATGTCGTTATTCTTTGCTCACAATCCCGTATTGTTGCTTATTCTTATGTGTGCCGCTCGCAGCTGTTCACGATGCCCGAATTGTATATTCCTCCCAAGGAAATATCCTTTCGCCTTCGTGGCTTTAGAAGCAGCTAGAAGTGACAGATGACTATTTCATAGTGCTCAGCTCCCACAGTAAAAACCATGGCCGGAAGCCTTCTTTCTTCCAAGTTAGAGAACCAAACACGGTTTCTCTGGCATGTCACGTGGTTGATGACCGTTGCTAGTGCTCTGTGTTCTTGAAACTCCACCCATACAAGCAAAGCTCCGCAACGACTTGACCAGTCAGATCTATTGTATGCTCTTCCCTCAGACTGATTTATCTGCCCCAATATTCTGAAGTGTCCTTCGGCACAATCGTATCCAACTTTGTACACAGTTGCACGTAATCTTCTCTTTCCTGATCTCTTCATGACCGTGACAGTAAAAAGAGGGCAATACAGTATACGTGGGCCATGTGTGAGATGCCTGACACACCAATGTTCGAAAGTTCCTGTTCCATTCTGTGGATAAGAGTCGCACTTTGAGAATTTCAGGATAAGGAACTCTCCCAAAAATTTTCATCATTAAGTCGTTTGGAAAGTCTTCATGTTCTCCCATCGTGCTTGGCATACCAAGAATGTGCACTCCACCTTCCAACTGCAAGTGTAGAATCCTAGATCAGCACCGCACAAAGAAAATGTAAAAGATGTTTTGTTATTGCTGCACGATGGAAAGCTTCATCCGACACCCCCGACGTGGTAACTTATTTTAATGTCCATCTAATACAAACAAGCCATTGAAATTTGCATGCACGAAAGAAAGACGGTTGTGATAGACTTTTCTATCAATATTGAAGCATATATAAAACTCCGTACATTGAGGCTTGTTTTCTTTGGGAGGCATATTCTGACAGAAGGAAACTGAAAAATGTAGTCCGCCTGAACGAACTCACAGATGTGCGATTTCGTGAACGCTTATGCAACACTTTACCTTCTTCTCGCGCTCGATTTCGTCACCAATCTAGACAGATCTTTGCGTCTGTAGATCCTTCACAGAGTCCAGTTAAAAGACGGAGGTGGAAAGGGATGAGCTGGCAAGATGCGACCCAAAGGCATTTCTCCTCTTCTCTCTTCTCTCCGCGCACTCACTTAAGTATCAGGATCAGCAGCGCGATGTTCTCCCTTCCTTCTAGGGTGCCACTGCCCCACCGCGACAGGGTTTAGGGTTTATTTTATATATTTTGATAAACTAATTTCACATGATTAAAAAAAATTTAATTCAATGGGTAGACTTAATATTAAATATTATATTAATGAGATGACTTTATATTGTTAATTCTTTCAAATCTGATTGAAAAAATTTTAT